TTCCTGCTGCTGAGTCCATTCTGGCTTGAGGCTAACACTCAGCAGCTCAGTTTGTCCAGACATGTCCCAGGTTGGGTGTTTGAGGATGAGCAGCAGCACAATGAGCCCATTAGTGCTGTCAGGGCTGCCTGCCTGTGCCAGCCCTGCCTGCCCCAGCCCGCAGCTCCAGGTAGCACTGGCAGAGCCACCCCATGGGGGGCTCATCTGGGGCAGAATCACTGGGCACTTCATGGTTCTGCTCTGCACCTTGCCCTGTTTGTCTGCTGTACAGTTTGAGTTTGTTGTTGTTGGGGGGTTATTTATTTATTTCCCTTAAAAATGCCCTTCTGGTCACAAAGCCTGTCACTGTCTCAAGCCTCCAGCCTGATGCCCATTCCAGCCAGCAAGAGCACTGATCTGCCAGTGCCTGAAACCAGGCTCTAGCCCTTGTTTAGAGAAGCTGTTCTTTATGAATGCTGTGTTTTCTAAACACAATGTTTAGAAAATCTGTGGCATAATTAGGAAGGACATGGAGATATTTGCTAGTATTTGTGAAATGCTGCAGAGTGTTTCAGGGGCAGTTTTATGACTCCTTTCAATTTTTTTTTATTGTGTTTTATAGTAAAAGCAGGTTTATGGTGCTACCTTATTTTATAAGTGGATGCATTAGTAGACATTAAACAAAAAGGGCTGCTTTTATTCGTGCAGATAAGTCTCAAATCTCAAAGAGGAAACAACACTTATTCTCAGAGCAATAACCAAGCAAGTAATAAAATGGGTGCAAAGTTGCACCTCGTTTTATCAGGTAGCTACTCTTTTAAAGGCAGTCCCAAACAAATGCTACCTGGGAATTCCCATGTGTCTGCATTAAGAGGGAATGGTGTTAAGTGTGGTGAAGATGTGGGAAATACCCTGAGGTCCAACTGGTAAGAAGAAACCACACACTGTTTGTTTTCTGTCCTAGGGTGTTCTGCTCTTTACCACAATATTGAAATCAAAACCTTTGCTTCTAACCTTGAGCACTGTGCACCTGGCTCTGCTGATGTCTGTGGCAAGAGTTCATTAACAAACTTCGGCTCTTCTCTGTTGGTGTGATCCTCTGAGCATTCATTTCTCTGTGAACGGCAGGGAAAAGTGGACTAGACTTGTAGGCTGCTGTGACCCTTTCCCAGCAGAAACCCTAATGCAATTTGACTTCACTAGTGTCTATTATAGTGAAGTTTTCCTGCCAATATAGTGCTACAAATGTGCTGTGGGCAGCAGGGGTGCCTGACTTTCCTGGGAGACCTCAGAGAGGAGAAAGGGTGTTTAGGATATGTCTGTGCTGTGAGATGCATCTTGCCACATAGCCAAGGCAAGCAGAAGGGACTTCAAGGTAATGAAATGAAGTGCTATGACCACAGAGATGGCTCAAAGTAGCATTCAAGGACTTTTGGCAAATAACATGTCCAGCGTTGACTTACCTTTTTCTTGAGTCTGACAGCCCTGCCTTGCACAACAGCAAGGTGGAATCTGGCCCAGGGCACAGTGTGGTACCCTCCTCTGCTGCCACCAGGGCCCTCAGGGAGGGTCCAGACCACATGGAAAGGTTGGGAGGGATAATGGTCTGATCTTTGTTCATGCTCTCAAATCCCCCTGGAGCCACTGGAGGAAGACAAGTCTCTGGGAAAGGCCTCCAGCAGTGACACAAATTGTGTGAGGATTCAGGCAAGTCCTAACATGACATTTTTCACAGTGAAATGCAAGACCCACTGCTTGCTGATTGGTTTTGCCCTGTAACAGCAGCTGAAGCACAAACAGCATCATTTGCCATGGATGATGACAAGGAGAGAAAAGAGAGGGATGGGGCAGGAGTGAGAAAAATGAAGTATTGAATCAAATTATGGAGATAAACAAGCTTCTCCACAGACAATTTTGATGAAACTATTAGTTTTGTGTGTAGTGCTTAGAAATTACCATGATATATCCACTGTCCGTGCCAGAACTAGAGAGCTAATTATATCAGATACAGAGGAAGATGAAATTATCTCCCCTTCCTCACTAGGGCTCATGGCTGCCACCAGAGAAGGATAATGTGAGGGCTTCCTGAAGCCCATGGCAATGAAGGAGGCTGAAAGGAGCACCTTCAGGATGCTCTAGGCTGAGATGCTTGGGGTTGTCTCCTGCTGAGGAAGTTGGGCAAATGGGATGTTTTATACAGCCTATCATGGACATTTCATCTCTTTCCCCCAGCTGAGCCAACCAACCAGCCAACAAGCTCTGTAAGGTTATTCCTCATAAGACTGAACCTATAATTAGGTGGGGGTTTCTCACAGAGGTGACACACCTCCAAGCATTGCCCAAACCTTGCAAAATTAACTTCTGTAGAAAACCTATAAAAATGGGGAGGAAAAAAAAAAAGATTGCATTCCAATGGAGCCAAAGACCATGGCCTCTTTAAATGTTATTAAGTCAATAATTAAGTGAATTTGGAGTGTGAACTGTGTATCCACTTTAAATGGATTAATGATATGAGAATTCATACGAAATTGCTGTGTTGATTTTATGTTAATGGCTGTTTGAATATAAGCTGAACTATTAACCAAGGATAAGTGGAACTAATGTGCCAGCATTACTATAGAAATATAATTGAAAGGATGGTCCACAATTTGTAAAGGGCCTCATTTCTCTGGAGTGGGTTGAGGGAACATAGTCTCCCTTGGACAGATTGGAAGGGTGTCAGTGAGGGTGGGAGGGTTGTAAATAGAGGGATGTTTAAAGAACAGCTGGATAGCTTAAATAAAAGCTCAAGGGAGGGGCATAATCTAGCTGTCAATAGTGACGCTGGAGACACCCAGCAGGGCAGGGAATCTAGTTTGTCAAGATCACCAGTTTGTTTTTAACCTCTTAGGACATTCCCAAGACTTCTGTGTTTCATGCCAGCAGCCAAGGAACAAATATTCCCAAGAATCTTTGAGATTAATTTGTCCTTAAAGCTTCATTTCACAGGAGTCAACCCTTCCCCTCACTCCATCCCATCCCAAGTACAGCAGGGCAGGGACAGGAAAGCTGCTCCAAAAGCACAGGAAAAGTTGTCTTGGTTGGTAGAAGGAGGCACAGCCAGTAGGAATGGCATGGAAATGAGCAGAGGGAAATATACTGCTGCCAATGTGTTTTTCCAAACAGCAAAGTTGGATGGATTGTGGAATCCCCATGACTTGCATCATTTAAATATAAGCTGGATAAAAGCCCTCAAGGAAACACTACAGGGCGTATTCCTGCTTTGGCAGGCAGTTGGTGAGGATGACTTAATAAGTCTTCCCAAGACTTAGTTCTTAGGGGCTATGGTTAAAATGAAGATAGGATTGATGCAGCTGCTAAATGATCATCTTTCTCAGCCTTTATTTTCTTTCCTTCCCCTCTCAGAGGCAGAATCTAAGGTGCTGAGTGGGCAGCCTGTGTGCAGCCCACAAAAGCAGGAGCAGTCTGGGGTATCCAGGGATCTTGAAGCCTAGAGTGTCTCCTCATTTAGGGCTCTTTTATGTGCTAGTGTGGTTCCTCTTGATTTGCCTGAGTGGGGGTAAAATCAGGCTCAAGGCTTTTGATACTGATAATTTTGAATCATGTGATGTCAGTCAGTCTTCTTGAAGTTGGCTTTGGAGGTGCAGAACTGTGAGTCTAAGGCAACTGCTGCAAACTTGCTAATCAGATGGAAAAAGTGGATAAATTACTGCTGGATTAGTGGGTTGAACTGGCTCAATGGGGTCCCACGTTTATCAATGGTAAATTGATGGATCCACTCAGGCATGTAGTGTGACTTCATAATCAGCTTGCCTATCTGAAAATTAGGGATAAAGATGCTGCCTCTGTACACTGATTTCAGAGGTAAAAAGAGTAGGTCTGCTCTTTGTAAAAGCAAGTGTGTTCACCTTTGCCTCTCTGAGGACTGGCTTTAAGATTAGAGATTTAGTGTTACTTTAGATCTTGAGATGAAGCTGCAAGTTTTCTGTGGCTCTGATGTGATTGTTAGTGATTGAAAAGATTCCAATGGGACCCAGTTGAATGCCCAGATGTCTGTAAGAGCCATTGGCCCTTGACTCTAATGAAAGTTAGATCAGGCTCAGTAGGTTTGCAGAGAAAACCAGCAAAGCTTTGTAAAAAAAATCAGTGCTCAGAATTTGTGGGCAACACTGTAATTGGGTAGGTGATTAAAAGTGTTGTTCATAATAGAATGCTGGTGATATAAAAAAAGTAAATAAATCCTTCATCATGTTTTTCATCCTTTTGAGGCTTGTCTGCCAGAACTGTAAACAAACAATAGCAGCATATAGGTGTTTGGAAAATAAGCTGCATGATTAGCTTATCTCATCTAACTGAGGCATAATGATAAACTGGACAGTACATATTTTGTAGTCTCTTACTATTAGTGTGTGTTCCAAGGTCAGAACTTTTATTCCTCTTCATAAAAATGCATTCTTGAAAGAAATGGAAGTTATTTTGTATTATAGATTGCAGGTAATACCAATATTCATTGCTTAGAGGCATGAAAAATACAACACATGTTACAGTTTTGGGTTAAATTCTTCCATTGTTGGTTTGGGTCTGGTTATTAAGACACAAAATCTATTATTTTTTTTTCACTTTGAGCCAAATCTCCACATTCCCAGAATATTCAGTACACATAAATGTACATCTTTGTGTGCAAATTTACATTTGCAAATTTACACATGTAAATTTGCATATTTACATGTTCAATTTGTCAAAAACCTTTCTCCCAGTAATATTCTATATATTATCAAGCTGTAAGGCTTAGCTCTCCAGGACTCTCTCCTCTCTAGGGCAAAGCTCAATACAGCTGAGCATAATTCTCCATTTGTGCTGAGATAAACCTTCCTTGGTGCTACATTTTGATACATTTATTCATCTTCCTTGAATATCACTTTATTTCACTAGTAGTCCAATCTAGTGATGCACATGCCAGTAACCCATTTGCCCTTACAAAGCAATATAACACTTGACAGGTGGACAGATATGTAAGTAGCTCTTCGGAATGACTGCAGGTCACCCATGTAGCAGAAGTGGGAGCCTCTACCAGGATGAGGAGCTTGACAGGGTGGGATTTGCCAGTGGAAAATGTTGGGAACATCTTACTCTTGCAGGTCTTGATTTTTTTCACAGTGCCAGAGCTATGTATCCTTTCACTGCCAGACATTAGGCAGCCCCTAATGAGGCTTACATTATTGCTACTTAATATGCAAGTTGTTTTAAAGCAAGTGTAACTTGCAATGGTAATGAACACTTAAACAAAACACATTTGTCTTCCCTGGCCCATTACTATCCAGAGATAGCTAATATCTGCTAAATGATTTTTCTCTCAAAGATAATGCCCAGATAAGCTGCTAATGCCTCCTCCCATGCAAAAATTATGTCAGGTCCTCTAAAAGTAGGAGGTTGACTTCACAACCACAGCGTCTGGAAGAAAATTACAAAGTCTGGCAACTTTTCCAGTTGCCTTTGGTGCCTACAGGGGATGCCCGGGTCATGTTTTGGAGGTTTTCTCCTAAGTCATCAGAGCTAAGCAGTTGTTTTGTTTCTTCTGAAGGTTAAAATTATCAGTTAATTAAATTTTCTCAGTAGGTAACACTTTCAGGAAGATGCCAAGTATAACAGGACTCATGTTGTGGCCACCAGCTGATGGCTGCTGCAGCCCAGCAAGGGAACAAACCCACAGAAGCTTTTGGGCAGAGGCACTTCCTTTATGAGCAAAGGTCCCCATTGCCTAACTGGTGCCAAAGCAGCTCTTCTAAGAGAGGAAAAGGCAACTTACACACAACCTCCTGCTTACACAACAACAACACAGAGCAACACAGAGTTCTGATGGTTGTATGCTTCTTCAGGGTCAAAACTTGTTCCTAACAAAGCTGCTCTTTGTGGGAACTTGGCTGCTATATTAAGTATGTAGAGATTTTGGCCCTGTGCAGCAGCAGCAAGGTTTGGCTACAACAGACTTCAGCAGAACCCTTTCTGAATGCCTGCGAAAGAGAATCAACCCCTCCATGTATCTGGAAGCCTGTATGGCTTTTGAAGAGCAGTGACACTGTAGGTGCATCCACTGTGTGCACAGCCCCTGGCACCTGGAAAGGCAAAGGAGAAACCCAGCTTGAAAGCTGAGGAACTGTAAGAATGTGTAATTTGCTCCTCTGTTTTCAAAGCTCTAATACTAACTCTGCTCCCAGAATAGGATTTTCTTGACTCTGAACTGGATCTTGTTGCAGTCCTGTGGAAACCAGAGGAAAAGCAGGCTCAGTCATGTGTAAGGGGACCTGCTTTGCAGAAGGTGCCTTTGCTTTTCACCAGCTCATCTCATCCTGGGAAAAACAGCCAAAGAGTCTGTCATGCCTGTGGGAGGCTTTATGGAGGAGCATTTCCTCAAGGGAGGGCAAGTTCATCCTCTCTTTCTCTGCCTTTCCAGTTAGGATCTAGCTTCCTTCCCTGCTCTTCCCCACCATCCTAGTGGCCCCATTCCTCATCCAGTACCAACAAGCCCTTCTCAAGCACCAGAAAAAAAAAAAAAACCCTCAGGTTGCTGTTCTGCCTCCAAATACAGGGTTTGTATTCTCCATTTCTTTAATAAGCTAGACA